GACAGTGATATATAAAATTTAACTCTTATGTTCAGACTTTGGGGTTTGAAAAAAGCAACTATGACTCCTGTTTTTTTTTTCAAAGGGTCAGGTAGACCCGAATCCATTTATCTGTTATTGTATGTGGATGATATGTTATTTGCTTGTCATGATAAATCTGAAATTGAATCTGTTAAGATGAAGTTAAAGTCTGAATTTGAAATGAAAGATCTAGGTCCAGCTAGTAGAATTCTTAGCATGAAAATTGTAAGAGATAGGTCCAGCTGTATTCTTATTTTAAAACAGTCTGCTTATATAAAGAAAATACTTGAAAAGTTTTCTATGATTGAATGCAAGCCTGTATCATTGCCTATTGCTAATAATTTTAAACTCTCTAGTGATCAATCACCTAAATCATATGATGAATTAAAAAGAATGGAGAATGTGCCTTATGCTAATGCTGTAGGATCCATCATGTATCTCATGATTTGTACCAGACCTAATTTAACTCATGAAATTAGTATTTTAAGTAGGTTTATGGCAAATCCTAGGGAAACACACTGGTTAGCAATAAAGTCGATGTTTAGGTACTTGAAAGGTTCAATTGACCTAGGATTAAAGTTTAAAAGAACTAATGAAGGTATAATCTTATAGGGTTATACTAATTCAGACTTTGCTGGTGATCTAGATAGGAGAAGATCAACGTCCTCTTACATTTTTACTTTGTGTAATAGTTGCATTAGTTGGAAATCTCAACTGCAAAAATTGGTTGCATTGTCCTCAACAAAGGTTGAGTACATTACTGCATGTGATGCTGTGAAATAAAGCATTTTGTTAAGAAGATTGTTAAATGAAATTGGTTTTGTTAATGAATCTGTTAGTATTCATATTGATAATCAAAGTGCCATTCATTTAAGTAAAAACTCAGTTTATCATGACAGAACAAAGCATGTTGACATAAAATTTCATTTTGTAAGAAATATGGTTGAGCAGGGTCTGATCAGTCTTGTTAAAATTCCTACAGAATTTAATCCTTCTGATTTAGGAACAAAAATTCTGACACTTAGTAAATTTACAAATTGTTTGAAAATTCTGAACATCATCTGAAAGACTGATCAGGTGATATTCAGAAGTTCATTTTTTGAAAACCAAGCTAACTTTAAATTTTTCTTTTTTACAGGTTCTTAGAGCTAATGAAGTCAAGTAAAGCTTGAACCCACTAGTTGAAACAAAGAAATAGTTCAGCAAGGTGGAGATTGTTAAAGAAATGGGCTGCCTCACTATTTCTTTATTGGGCCTTATTACTTAAAATTGTCGGAGGCCCAGTCCCTTAACAATGTCGCATTTTGGAAAAACGTTTTCTCACGCCTCTTATGGAAGAGTGTGTGCTGTACACGTGGCACACTCTCAACCATTGGATGAAGTTAGTTCAGTAACCGTATTTTTCATTTACTTCACTTGACCCTTGGTCTTTCGTTTGGCTTGACTTTTACACTGATTTCTAGAATACTCTTTTCTCTCTCCGTGCGTGTGTGTGTGCGAGGGTTTTCTTCTTGATCTTTTCTCTCTGAAAATGAAACAAATCTTCTTCTGTTAGAAAGGAAAGTAGTAATAATCTGCGTGATCATTTGAGAGGAATTTTTGTAATAAGAAAAGAGGCTAGATAGATCGAAGAAATCTCTGATTTCTTCGAACATTTGTATGATTACTTTGTGAAATTTAGTGAATCTTGAGCATACTCTTGACTGAGGCTCAATGGGTGATTAGGTTCTTCTGGACTGAACATCCGGGCTCTTTTGGAGCAAAAACATATCTGGTGTTCTATTTTACTTTTTTTAATTTTCTGCGATTTTTGATTCGTAAACCTTTAAGAACATACGAGTTTATTGTATCTTTGGGACCAATAGGGTGGTTTGTATACAAAGTCAAAGTACTTATTTCACTATAGCGTGGGTTGCTGACCCATAAACCAATTTGTTATTGATGAATCACTTAGAAGAATATAATTTAGGGAAAGGGAAATGTAAAAATTAAAAGAAGTGACAACTGAAGATTAAAAAGGTTAAGCAACTCATCAAATTCTAGATAATTAGCTGTTTTTATTACAAGTTTACAACCCAGTGCGTGGTATTTCGACTTTTTACAAGGCTAGTTCCAAACCTTTCTAACCAAAAAAGTGGATAGGATTGAATTGACGGTGAGGTCACCAGTTCTCGATTGAACCTTTCTAACCAAACCTTTCATCTTTACTATCGCATTTCTAAGAAACTGAAAAATAAATCTTTATTGGCCAAATTTTTTACTTGAAAAAGTGAATACCTAATTCACTTACGGGCTAGAAAAATTCAGCGTCGAGCCGCCCTTAGTAGATAGAATAAAGTCATTTAATCAAGCTTAAAAATAGGCAATAAAGAGATAGATTGATAAGTCAGAAAATGATGATGTGTTTTTATTTTAATTTTTCAAACTATCCAATTATACGTCGACACGTGTCTCATTTGAGCCCCTGTTTGGTTTCCATTATTTCTTCATTAAAATGAAAAATATAATCGTTATCCATCACATTAAGTTATTAAATTTATATTTATATTTTTTGTGTAGAACTCGTAATGATTATATTTTTTATTTTCATTTTTCTGAAAATGAGAAATAAATTGGGGCTGAATTTGAATTCAAATCTATAAATGATATATATTGGTGCAGTTGCATCTGTGTCAGCTTTAGCCATCAAATCACCTGATAATAACATGTTGGGACCTTTGAATTGTCGTATTAAGAGGCACAGAGAATACACGCGTAGAGTGCATAAACTGTGGTAGGGGTGTGTGGCATCCACATGTCTTTGGCATAAAGTGTAGGGCACAATTTGAAACCAAATTTTGTTGTTTACTTTGCTGGATCATATATACCGTGATGATACCAAGAATCAAGATATAGCAAGAACTATTTTGTCTTTAATTGAAACTTCAGGTGGTTCTCGAAAAGAAAAGGAAAAAATTAAAAAATTGAGAAAATTAAATAGTACTGAATCTCACAAAATGTATGATCAATGTTATGAATGTGTTATTAAACTTTGATTGAAAAGAAAAATTAATTATTTTTATTATACAGACAAACATTTGACTCAATTATTTCAATAATATTTTACTTTTAATTTTTCAAAATGTATTTGATTTATTTAACCCTTTAGTTACCATAAATGTATATGTACATTTGACATATTCATTTCATTTGTGAGCTTTCAATAATGTATGAATTTTCTATTATTAATTTTCAATTAATTAACATTCACGTTCATTTAATGAGTATTCATATTCATAATGTATTTCAATTTTATTAATTCTAATTAAATTATTAATTAGAATTTCACTTTTAAGAATGTATATCATTATTCACATCTATGTATAAAATTGAGTTTTACTTAATTAAAAATTAAATAAATAGTTTAACATTAATTGTCACGTATTCCTTGATATAAATTTTAAATTAATTAACATTTATGCATCTTTAGATATTATTTTTACAGAATATATAAAACATTTCATAATAACGTGCTATGCATGTTCAATGTTAACTAGTGATATGAAGATTGTGGACGTTTAACGCAAGAAAAGAAGTAGAAAAGATAAATCTTTATGGAATAATATTTAAAACTGAAAATTGACATTAATTAATAGGAAAATTGCAATAGCGGTCCCTCACTTTTCACTCTTTTGCAGGCTTCATTCTAACCTTCAATTTGTATCAATGGAGGTTCCAAATCTTTTATAAATCAGCAGTAGAGATCTAAATGGATAATATTGTTGACCAACAAAATTGATTTTGACAAAATCTAAAGGGTAAAAATGGTAAATTCATTATTTTTCATATAAAACAATTAAAATAATTTTAAAAATTTAACAAAAGAAACATGATCTATTCATCTTCCCCACGCTACCCTATCTCACCCCACCGCCACCAAAATCAAATCAGTACGCAACCCTACCTCCTGCTTTTTTCTACAGCCACAGCCCGTCCCACCACTCTTCGCCACCGTAGCCTCCGACTTCTCCACCAATCCCCTCCTCTACCTCCATTCCATTTTAATTACCCAATTTCAATAATTATATCAAACACCACACAGGCATCCTAAAATCTTCCATTTTGACAGAATTAATTGACAAATGTAATGAATGTAGCAACATGGGTTGGAACCTATTTTACAACTACAATCCAAAACAGTTTTCAATTCATTGAATTCTAAAATGGTTCTTAATCTGCCCTCTCTCTTGAATTTATCCACGGCTTCATTTGTCTGAGAAGGTTTGGGAAAATTGTGGGGGGGGGGGTACCTTTTGGAATTTAAATGAGAAAATTACCTTGTTGGGATTTGTTGATAGTGGGGTGAAAGGTGTTCTGGCTATGGTGGCGATCCCAAACAAGGATAATTGCAGCAGCGAAATGTGTGGTTGCGATTTGTCGTGGCGGTCCCAAATCGGGATAATTGCAGGACAAGTAAAGGTTTGGTGGCTATGGGGATGGTCCTAAACCGGGATAGCTGCAGCGGAGAAGCTTTGGAAAAGGTGTGGTGGCCGTGGCTCTGATTTTTTGGTTTGGGTAGGATGGGTGAAGCGGAGATGAATATATATATTTTTAATTATTTTAAGAGTGTGTTTGATTGACATGGAAAATAAGGAGATTAATAGTTTTTTTTTTTTTTTTTTAATTGTTTTATTGGATTCAATAGCAAAGTGACCTTTTTACTCATTTAAATTGATCAAAGTCCAATTTTGTTGGTCAATTAACAATCAAATCCATTTTGACCCCTGCTCCCAATTTATCAAAGGTTTGGCACTTTTGTTAACACAAATTGAAAATCATGATAAAGTTTGTAAAGAAGTGAAAGATTAGGGATCGCTGATGTAATTTCCCCTTATTAATTAACCGGGCGTTGTGCCTCCAATTAAGAAAAAGTTAAAACAGCATGTCAGCTGTATTTTTACACATGATGCCATGCCACTGTCTTTATAAAGTTTACATTCAACAAAAATGAGTTATGTACATCATCTCTCTCTCTCTCAATTCTTTCTTCAGCATCAATGGCTCAAGGAATGGGAAAATCTTTGTTGAATCAACACACAGAAGAGCACTTCACTGCTGGAGAAATTGTTCGTGACATAATCATCGGTGTTTCAGACGGACTTACAGTACCTTTTGCGCTTGCTGCCGGTCTGTCCGGCGCCAATGCGTCGTCCTCCATAATTCTCACCGCTGGCATAGCCGAGGTAGCTGCCGGAGCCATCTCCATGGGACTTGGAGGGTAAACTCTCGGATTCAGCCTCAAAACATTATAATTTCTTTGTATTTTGTATAATATGAATTTATGTTGTATGAAATTCAGGTATCTTGCCGCCAAAAGTGAGGCAGATCATTATATGAGAGAAATGAAAAGAGAACAGGAAGAGATCGATGATGTGCCTGATACAGGTGAGATGGGTTTCTCTTATACTATATATACACTACACTCAAACATGTGAAGTCTTTGGTTCTTGTAGCAAAAAAAAATAATAATAATAATAATAAATAAATAAATAAATTTGTCAAGATTCATAGATGGATTACTTCTAGATAGGGTGAATGTGAGCTTCAATTAGGTTTAATTATAATAGACACCATTTTTTTTTTCTAATATGCAGAAGCTGCCGAGGTTGCAGAGATACTATCTGAATATGGGGTTCAGCCACATGAATACATGCCAGTAGTGAATGCTCTGAGGAAGAATCCGCAGGCATGGCTGGATTTTATGATGAAGTAAGTTTACATATGAAAGCAGGACGATAGCATTGAAAAAGTGGAGAAGAAAGAGGGTGAAGAATGTCGTGTTTGGCTAAGCTTAAAAGTTACTTGAAAACACCTTTTTTAAATGGAAAACATTATAATAATTTTGTTCAACTCTGAGGATCAACAATCTTATTGAACATATTTGAAATCGACTAATTTGGTATGTTCTTCAAAATTAGAACTAAAGAATGTACAAATAGATATTCAATAAGTGGACATGTATTATAATGGCACAAATCTTATTACTCAAGGGGGTTTAGGTCGGATTTGAAGCTTATGACCAGTGGACATCTTCAATAGATTGTCCATTGCAAGATTAAGAAATTTGTTTCGAGGTTAATGATTAAACACTTGACAAAATTCCAAATATATAAGCATAGGTGGCAAGTACCTTTCTCCTTTTCATAATGTTATTCATCATCAGTAGTGATTATCATAGATTTAAGTGCTAGTGAACTCACTCACTCACACATTGACCGAAAATGATGTAGTTTTATAGTGTAAGAGCATGTTTCGTGTGGAGTGTTGAATAGTACGATAATGTACAAGATTTTAATTTACATTCGCTATTTTCCAACTAGCATCACTCTATTCCTATATCTCATTGGCACAACTTCATCTACAAGTGCAGGTTTGAGCTGGGATTGGAGAAGCCAAATCCAAAGAGAGCACTTCAAAGTGCATTCACTATTGCAATTGCTTACATTGTGGGTGGAATGGTGCCACTAATTCCCTACATCTTCATTTCAACTGCAAGAAAAGCTGTGATTGCCTCTGTACTGTTAACTCTACTGGCATTGATGATCTTTGGTTACGCAAAAGGTTACTTCACTGGGAATAAACCAATTAAGAGCGCTCTACAAACTGCACTAATTGGAGCTATTGCATCTGCTGCTGCTTTTGGCATGGCCAAAGCTGTTCAAGGATAGGATTAGGATTTACATTACATTCTAGGTACTTGAGCTTTTTCTGGGACAACCTTTGACTTTGAGATTGTATTGTTTTATCTGTGTTGATTTTATTTTACAGCTTTGAGACATTTGCATTGATAGATATAAACTGTATCGTTACTTTTCTTAACCCTTCTTGTTTTGGTCAACAGTTTTTATGAAAAACTTACCTCATAACCTGTTGGGTTGAGTCAACAGATTTTATGAAACCTGGCTAGTTTTTAAATTTTTATCGATTTGATTGGAAATCAGTGTAATAAAGAAGCCTGGATTGAATTGACGATCGAGTCACTAGTTTTTCAATCGAGCCATATCGGCCAATCGGGGTTTTAATACACTGTTTGAATCACGAGACCTTTTTATCTTATTATCACATTTCTAAGAAGCTAAAAAATACAAAGTAATAATGTTTATTGGCCGAACCATCGCTTGAAAAACTCACCACTGAGCTTCCCTCAGTGGTTATTGTTGCAGGTGCATCTGCTTCAGCATAATGCAAATCACATAATAATAAATATTGGTCAGGGTTTGGTTCGATTTGATTCGATCTTTTTGCTTTATTTAGCCCATGTTTGGTTACGAATAAAAATATGATTTTAATCTAAATTAAAGTCACACAATCAATATTAACCACATTTTTCATAAATCCCACAAAGTTTTAACTATACATTTCAAAAACTTCTATCACGATTTATCAAAAAATCTAATTTTAATCTCTACTAAACATTCTCTTAAAGTAAAATTGTCGTATCATATACACGCGTAGTGTGCATAAAGTGCGGTAGGGAAGTGTGGCATCCACATGTCTTGTGCATAAAGTGTAGTGTACAATTTGAAGCCAAATTTTGTTGTTTAGTCTGCTCGATCATATATACCTAGATGATACCAAGAATCAAGATATAGAAAAAATTTATTTTATCTTTTAGTTGGAACTTTATGCTGTCCTCGAAATAAAAAATAAAATAAAATCAAGAAAGATATCAAAAAAATTAAAAAATTAAAAAAAAATTAAAGCTGATCTTACCAATATAGTTATGGGCACTCAACTTTTGATTATTAAAATTTGGATCTCTAAATTATTTGAATAAATAAATTAGGCTTCTTGCGTATTCGAAACCATCAATATGGACATAAAAAATTATACACAAGTTGAAGTTGGAGAGTCGGACTATTTAAGAAAACATTTTTCTTAACATCATCCACATTGATTCTTTCAATCATGTAGACCAGATTCAAATATTTAAATAGTTTCAAGACTCGTGATTTTACTTTTGAAAGTAGGAAATACATAATCATACCGTGTAAAAGGTTAGAAAGACCAGCATTAAAAGATAATTAAGAAATAACGAATTGAGGTTTTGAGTATAAAATTTGCATTTTATTAATATTACATTTTTCATGGTTATTTTTTCCTTTGTAGGCTTCATTCGAAACTTATATTTGTCAACACAATATATGAATGCATATAAATTTCTGCCTTTGAATAGCATGCTTTTTTTGTCACTGCTCCAGGCTAACTTGATAAACTAAACAAATATCCCTCTAATCTGATTCAAACTGACCCGAACCAAATCGTTTTAGCAGTTTGAATCGATTATGTTAGTGATTTATCGACCCTAAGCTGATGCCCTTTTTGGCGATTTGGATCAATTAAGTGAACATCTTTCGTAGTAGCGGAATCAAGAGAAAGAATAACGAAGGTGATTTCACTATATTTTTGACAATGCGCATACCTAATCATGAGAATAGTTATGTTAGTTGTAAATTAATCATTTGTCATCTTGACTTTAACAAATAATCACAAGGCCAATTAGGGGTGGGCACATGTCGGATTGGATTCAGACACAACCCAATAACCGAAATACCAACCCAAAATCGAATAGACAAGATGAGTAAATCAATCCTAACAAATTTGATTAAACCGATAGTTCAGGTCGGGTGAAATTTCAACTTTAAATCCAACCAATAAAATGAATAAACTGATTCAAATCAACCCAAGTCTGTTAGTATCGGTTCAATTTGTTGAGTTGAAAATGGTCTTTCTCTTGAAAATTAACTTTTTTTCCTTTTCATTTTTTTTTGGGAAACACAACCCCCCAAATAGAGGTTTTCGAGTTGGTCCAAACCTACCTGGAAATCAAACCAACATCGTCCAAATTGATTTGAGTCAGTTTGTTTTGGCACTTTGGATTGATTAGGCCGGTAATTTGCCCATCCCTAAAATTGATGCCTTTTTTTTTGTCGAGTGAATGGAAGAAGTCCAGTAGTTAATTCAGGCATGTATATTCAACCAACTACTTCTAGGCGCTTAATATTGTTGCCTTAAAACCGATACAACTGCTAACCAAATCTTATTTTCAATTCATACAGGCACCAAATGGCAAAT